ATGTATATAAGTATATTACTGCATATTGCATATAAATATATATTATAGAATTTCATATCTATACAAGACTTTGTTCATTTTAAGAAGTAATTGTTCTCTTGCATATCCCTTGCTATATTTTGGGACCAAAATATCTCTGATTTAACTAATACAGAACTGAAAGACAAAGATACAAAAATGAAATGAAACTTGTCCTGTATAGATGGTATAGTAAATTATCTGGTTTTTTTCCTAGCCTTAGTACAGAGCTACTAGTACGAATGGATTTCTCCCAAATGATAGGAGTGGGTTGCATTATTCAGGAGTCCCTGTAGGTAACACTGAAGTTTATGTTATTGTGTGGCTTAGGTAAAGTGATGATTAGAGTTGTCAGCCTCACCGCCCCCGCCCCCTTCCTGAGTGGGAGGGCGATGAAGACAGAGCTCCATAAAATTCAGAGAGGCTCTGAGTTGAGAGGGTGGCATGCTCAAAGGCATGGAAGTTCATGCCTACACCTCTCCCATGTAACCTTGCCCTCTGCATCTCTCCACTGGCCGTTGCTGATTCATATCCTTTGTAATGAACTGTTCAGCATAAGTTTTCCCTGCGTTCTGTGAACTTGTCTACCAAATTATCAGACCTCAGGAGGTGCTTGTGCCAAGCTGTCAATATTAGATGGTTGGTCAGAAGTGTGGATGGTTCCCAGGACCTATGACTGCCATCACAAGTGTGGGGAGTGTAGAGGGACTGAGACTTTAACCTTTGGGATGTGTACCAGTTCTGGGAAGCTAGGTCAGAATTGCAAGTAACTACTGAACACACAGTTTCACTGCCAGTACTGGCTGCTGCTGTTGCAAAATATTCTAAAATATGTATTATTTCACTTTTTATGCTCTTTGAAAGGTAGACAAAAAGCCCTAAAACTAAAGTTAATGCATTTTCTTCAAATTAAACAACAGAATAAGTTCATTCACTTTACTTTATATGCAAGCTGAGTATCTATCATCTTTTTTTCCCTTTCTTCTTTTTCCTTTGTAATAACAATGAGAGGTAGCTGCTTTGAAATTTTTGTGATCTTTATGTGATATACATGTACTTATTGGGCAACAAAGCACTTTCATATTTAATAAGTTACAATAGAGATATAAACTTTTAAATGGTCAAAGGAAATTTTTTGTAGGGTTTATTGGCTTCATAAATAAATCTTACTAAATATCACCTTGCCACTTCCCTGGTCTGTGTATAAACATTCTAACTCCTCTTTAGAGGTTGATAAATATTAAACAGAAAATAACAGGATTAGAATGTAGCTTATGTTCTGAAAGCAAACCTAGTAAACAGAAGGAAAAAACCCTCAGCTAAGGAAAGCATAAATTCTCAGGTCAAGTTTACCCAAGATTTTCTTTTCAGGTTTTAGTTAGTTTACATGTTAGATGCTTCAATGAATACAATTGCTTTCAGAATATGAACACATGCATTATGAAACAATCATTCAGCTCACCTTTAACTGCAATCCAGGATTATTCAGGTGGGAGCTTCCTCCATTGGAACATATGCTCTAGGGAGTTCTTATACCTAAGTCAAGTGCTCTGTGTTCCTGAGAATCTACCCATGTGACAGAAGATGCTCAGTTTTGGGCTTTACTGAGTTTGGGGCCAAAGATTCAGGCCGTGGGTTCCAAGTACAAAATTCTGGGCTACACAGATTCACACTGGAGATGCTTGTGAATGTCCTTGACTCAAGCCCTAGATCCCAAGATTGGCTTCATGTGCTGCCACCAAATACTATACTTCCAAACTTGGGTGCCCAAGGTGTACCAGTGTATATGTGCCATAGGGGCTGTACATTTATAAACCAGCATTCACTGTGACTCACAACAGTTTCACGCATTCAATTTCCGCATTAAAAAATGTAAAAAATCTTTCCATATAACTAATGTTTATTGTCAGAGTATCGTTCAGGGTTTTTTCAATAAAAGTCTTATCTTCATACATTTGTATATATACACATATATATGTATACACATGTATGTAAATACGGACATAAATATATAATCTCTATATATGTATTTAATAGAAGGGATTGAACTTTGAACCTTGCGCATGGTAGGCAAGCATTCTACCTCTTGGGGCACACACCCAGCCCTTTATTATTCATTTTGTTTTTGAGATATGGTCTTGCTAACTTTGTCAGCACTGGCCTGCAAGTCATACCCCTTCTGCCTCAGCCCCCTGAGTAGTTATAGGCATGCACTACCACATCCAAATTGAACTTCGAAACTTCTGATTGTTCCTTTTTTCATTAACGACTATATTTTTGGTGTGTGGAGAGTTATATGTTTGTTTTTTTATTGTTGCTATCACTTGTATTTAACCTGTTATCTTAATATTCTGATTCCATAAGATGGTCACATTAAAGACATCAAAATTTGTATTGTTTAATAAATGCTCAACAATAACCGATGGGAAATAGACCTTGTTTTGCTTGCAACACTTTGATAGAAGTTTAAAAAATGTTTTTTGAGTAGATGACATATTACTTTGGTTTAGAATCTAAAAACAGATTGTTCTCAAGGTTTTTGTAATCTGGACATTAATCGTGAATGAGTTCTTTGTGCACGTGGTGGAGTTTGCCTGTAAGATGGTTTTATGAAGCCATTGTACTGGGAATGTCCCTCTGGTCAGACAGGAATACAGAGAATACTTGTCACAGAGTTTCCTGTGTGACTTCTGGAAGCTAAAATTAGAGCTTTTGGTTTCATATGGTATGGACTGAGTTGTGTCTTCTCCAATTCATATGTTAAACTCTAATCCCCAATGTATTGGAGATAGCACCTGTAAATTGATAATTAAAGTTCAATGAGTTCATAGAGGGAGAGGGATTTATGACTGGCTTTCTTATAAGAAAGGGAAGCTAGACCATAAATCTCTTTCTCTCTTGCATTGTAGAAAGGCCATGGGAGAACAGGGGGAAAAAGTGGCGATGTGCTAGCGAAGAAGAGAGCTCTCATCAGAAATGAAGATGAGGGTACCTTGACCATGGTCTGCTAGCCTAGAAGCTATTGGTTAAGTGTCTGGTATTTTGATATGCCAGCCTGAGTTGACTAATACAGTATACATGTTCTTACCGAGGACCCTTTCTCGTCTCTTCTCCAGTGACTAATCCTCTAATCTTGTCCCCTTGTGGTGTGGGAAGAATTTCCTGTAAGCATGGAGTAAGCAAGGGAATCTGGTATTCTAACTACATTTTAGACAGATTTTCAATGAATCACCTTTTTTATTTTCTTATCTTCACCACATTAGAATTTGGTTTACTATTTATTAGTTATTTATAGAAATTTATCTTTTGTTCACCTATAAGCCAGCCATCAAATTGTCATGGGTACCATCTTTTCTATTCTATTTTGTCCTTTAAGGGTTTTTTTCTTTTAATTTTGCTAATTCCTTTAAGAATTTATTAGTGAGATTTCAGAAAAAAGGTAATTGAATGCATGTGACCAGCTCTCCATCAACTGGCAAATTAGGTCTCTCATAGCATAAGACACAGTGATTAATTTTATGTATCTGTATGTTTTACTTGAATGTGTGTATAATAATTTTATATTTCTTTGCATCTTTCTTATAGGGAGTTTCATGAAAATAAAGACAGGAGGATACTCCTTATTTCTTCCAGGAGCACAAGTCCTGACACTCAGCAGAGATGTAGTAATCATTTTATGAATAAACAAGGTATTCCCTAGCTTTTAATGGTTTGCCATAATTCTTTCTGCATGTAAGACCTACTTCCCCACACCAAGTCCATTTGGTCTCTAGGTTGATTTGTTCTTCTGATTAATAGACAGGATACAAATGGAATAAAACAATAAAATTATATTTATGCTTGCTTTAAAAGGAGAGTCTTGAGAAAGCATTTTGAAAGTTGGAGTTTCCCTAAATACTCCAACTAGTTCCACATAATGACACTTTAGTTTCTGTGCTGGGCAGGCACTCTACCACTTGTGCCACTCCACAAGCCCTGGTTTGTGTTGGATATTTCCAAGACAGAGTCTCACAAACTATTTACCCAGGGTTGCCTTTGAACTATGATCAACCTGATTTCTGCCTCTTGAGAGATGTAAGCCACTGGTGCCTGGCTTAAAACTGTCTTTAATACTTCTAGTATCATCTGTGTTTCCATGTTAGAAAACACATTATAGCTGCGAAGCAGTGTCAGATATATTATATTCAACAACACTCAGATTAACTTTATGCATATATTTACTCATTTATTTTTATTTTTTTGAGAAAGGGTTTCACTATGTAGCCCAGGCTGCTTGAAATTGAGATCAACCCCCTCACCCCTCAGTTCCCACCTGGCTCAGCCTAAATTTAAACAGATTAGATTGAAATGCGTCAAAACATGATTAGTGCTTTAGCATTTCACATGTGAAACTTAGTATTTATCATGTAGTGATATTATAGAAAATTTATGAAGGTTGGTTTTTATAAAATTTGTACAATTTTGAATACATAAAATGAACAAGCTCCTTGTGTGGGGAAGGTAAATATTAGTTGAAAGGGACGTAGAAGGCTGGGTGTGGTGATGTACACCTGTAACCCCAGCACTCTGGAGGCTGAAGAAGGAGGATTGGAAGTATGAGGCCAATCCAGGCTGCATTATGAGAACTTGTCTCAAAAACAATGTCTGCACGAGGCTGGTATACAAATCAGTGGCAGAGCACTTGCTTAGCATGAGAGGAACCCTGGCTTCCATCCAGAGTATTGTAAAAACAAACAAGACAAATAGAAAGATAATAACATATATATTCTATTTTTGCACTGCATACCTGGTTATGGTCCTTACAACAATGATTTTGAATGAAAAAAAACCCTGTAAGTTAAGGATATATTTGCTGTTATGGGTTAAAATAGAAGATGTGGATATTCTACAATGAGATTTTGACTTTATAGCTTATGTTTATAAACAAATGATAAAATATTACAATTCTTTTGGGAAAAAATATCACTACACTTTGTACTTACCTACAATGTCTTCCATAAGGCCTATAATACTCTCATCCCCCACAATCCAAGGACGGTTTCCTACATCGTGACCATAGGCTCCCCTGAAATTGAAAAGGGACAGGAACATTTGTTAGGGTTTTTTGTTTGTTTGGGTTTTTTCTTTCTTTCTTTTTTTTTTTTTTTTAGTATGTATGTGATTTTTCAAGTATCAGCTAATTTAGCAAGTGGACATTTCTATGTGGGCCTTCATAATACCTAAAAATTATGTAAAAACACACTATTTTAAAATTCAAACAGTAATATTTGGGGCTCTTTAATTTCCTTTTTGTTCAACAATAAGGAGATTGTACATATACTATTTCATTAGTTTGCTATATTTTAAATCTAAGATTTTATTTTTCCCTTTTATTTCATAATTTTCAAGACTATTTAAATATTCCATCCATGTAATTATAGTGTATATAAAAGTAGATGCTAAAATATGCATAATACTTTTGGGAGGTGTCTAGAGACTAAAGTGATTGCTAATTAAATTTTAGCATATGGTTTCAATCTGCAAATTAAATGGAAGTATATAGAATATGACTGTACTTATAACATTTTAGGTAAATAATAAAACTTAGTAACAAAGTCAGTACTACATCTTAGCCTATTTTCTAGCAATGTATCTATCACATTCCAGCTTAATTGTATTATTCCAGTAAATATCCCAATATTTACAAGAAAAAAATACATAATACATAAGAGCACCTCAGTTTCAAGTAATTTCTATCAAAGAAGGAAGGCAAATACACTTGAAAAATATAGAAGAAATTAGGTCAGCACCAGTGGCTGTAATCCTAACTCTTTGGGAGGTTGCAAACAGGATGATTGCAATTACAGGTCAGCTGGGCAAAAAGCTACAACCCATCTCAAAATTAACCACAGTTAAAAATATCTGGAAGTTTGGCTCAAGGGTAGCATGACTAGCACACTGGAAGTCTTGGGTTCAAATTCCAATATATCAGTTCTGAGTTAAACTGATCTTAATCCAAAATTTTGTAGACTTGGAAGAAAGGAATGAGATTGTGCTTTTTGTGCAATGCAAGCCTGGGTTTGAGTGCACACACTGAAATTCAATGAACTGACGGTGGTGAACTGGGATACTTGCCCTAAGAGGGGAAGAAAGACTAAAGGGTCAGAAGTCTGCTCTTCATTCAGCCTTGTTGCATTCAAGGTGTAAATATGCAACTGTCATGGCTGACACCATGCTATCCCAAAATTCTGAACAGTCAACGCTGAGCTTTCATCACATAGTGTGATTCAACTCCAGATCTTCACTAAAGTAAGACTGCATTTCTTAGAAGCTTATAGAGCCTTCTTCTCAACATCTGTAAAAGTACATGAATAACAATATGTAGCTTAAAGGATTGGCATGAAAAATAAATGAGACAACATGCAAAAGAGATGGGTGCATATTACTTCTTTGCTGAGTCATCTTTCCTGACGTAAATCTAGTGCTGAAGCCTCTTTTATCAGCATGTGGTGCTTAGCACAATTTTTAAAATAATATTTCCATTACCGTATAAACAAGGATGAAGGAAGAGGACTTTCTTTGAGAATAAACATAGACTGCTAAGAAGTAAGGAGGAAAAGAAGGCAATTGCTGGTTATTATTATTCATATTGCTGCTAGATAGCCTGCAGCTTGCCTCTTTCTTGACTTCTAATATAAACGCTAAAGATAAAAATCATTATCATTAAATGGTAGTTAACGGCAGATACTTGGATCCTTTTTTATTTTAATCACATGGAGCTCCATGGCTTTTGCTGATAGCACAATACATCTTATTACACTTAAGGTAGTAAAATTCTATGTTCTGCCTCAGAGAATTTATATCTCAGAATATTATGCCACCTACTTCTCACTCTGGTAGACACTGTGGTAATAATCTTTAAGGATACGTTTCTCCTGCATGCTTTTGGCATCTCCCTCCCTTTAAAAAATTGCACACCAAGTCTGCTTCCTAATTTTGTCTGCCTACTAGCCTGGGGTAGTTAAATGTATTTAGAAAGTGTTATCCAAATAAACCCAAAGTAAAGTAGCCTGTCATTAGAAAGAGTTGATGCAGATTAATGTACAGTTATAAACATATATATTTGAGTTAAGAAAAATGTTTTATTGGTTTCATTCAAAGCTGTTTAAAATAGTCTTAGTGTAGCTACAATCTTCATTTACAAATGCTGGGAAAAAAAGAGAGCATGAGAGAGTGAACTGATTACTACAGCATAAATCATTGTCATGAGCAGAGTGTTTCTGAGATGTCTCTGAGCAGTATTTGCTCATGAAATGAGATTGCAGGGTATAAAATCTAATTAGGAAGTTAATAGAAACTTAGATCCTCTTTAAAATAGGGCCATGTTTTAACCATCCCACAAAATGAAAAGTGGCCCTACTTTTAGAAAGCTTCCCCACCTTCCCCATATATAAATAAAAAAAATTTCACATCCTTCCTTAATGATATCACAACTTTTTTCCATAATTAATAGATGATAAGTCAACAAAGATGTTGACTAATCTGTCTAACATGCTATACCATTACTTTCTTTTTCATTTTTTTTTCTTTTTGAAGAAAGAAATGTTAAAATAAATGATACCACTACATGGGGTCTTCAGGAGAAATCTCTGCCCCATCTACACACATATTGCCATGTTAAGTAAGTCATTGTCTGTCATCCAACTGGTTTATCTCAGATACGTAATTCAGTGGGCTACATCCCTCTTTAAATAATCCTACTTAAGTTGTCACCTTTTTTACAAGAATCCTTATGAAGGCACATCCTTAATAGGTATTGCTCTTTTGAAAAATAGAGAACACGGTTTATCTAGCAGAATTGACAATGCAGATGACTTAAAATATTGTGGTTCTACCTTGAGGTCATAGTATCCATTTCTCATCTTACAATGTGTTCTTAAGGAATCTTTGAACACATCTTTGCTTTCTAGCTGAACTTTCCCATTATTAAGTCATGTTATTCTCCTTAAGATAATCTAGAACATTAGGAAATGTTTAATATGAAATATTCCTCCCAAATTATTTTAGACTTATAGTCTAAACTTTCTAACAGTCCCATGGGATCCAAATATACTGCCATTTTTTATTATTATAGCACCTTTTGTGTTAATAATTATTACATATCACATGGGTTCAATTACCCTAAATATTTTTTATTTCAAAATACTGAAATTATCTAAATGTTTTCATTTCACAAAATAAAAATGTTGTTCAAAGAGAAATGTTATTAATCAACATTAGAAATCTCATAGATGAAAATGAAATTACAGAATAACGATAGTAAACATTTCAAAAGAAACACAGAGGTAGGTATGCCCAAGAAAAAGATTTTTACAGTAAGTAGAAGCTTTAGGAGAAATAATTTGTGATCCAGCTATAGCCTGAAAGTGATCCTTCAGAATTAATAAGTTAAAGTTTAATTATCAGTGTGACCACAGTAAGTGGTAAGGCTTTTAGGAGGTGATTTAAGTCATGAGAGCAAGGTCCTCACGAATTGGATTGTCATTGTTATTAAAGACATGGGATGATGGTGTTTTTACCTTCTAGTATGTGAGCATCTAACAAGACATACCCCGAAAACCATGAATGAATAAAGAAAATATCACACACACACACACACACACACACACACACACACACATACCCCATGGAATGTTACTCAGCCATAAAAGAAAAAATATCATGTTATTTTCAGGAGAATGGACAGAATTGGAGACTATCATGTTGAGTGATAATTCAAGCTTAAAAACCCAAATATCTCATGTTCTTGCTCATTTGTGAATCTTAGACCTAAAATAATGAAGATTGTGATGATGATAATGGAACATGAATATGAAAGGACAGTCTGACAGGGAGGGGGCATCAAAGGAAAGGAGAGGAGGAAAGGCCTCTCCATTGACCACTGCCCTTCCCCCAGAGGAAGGTAAACCTAACCACTTGGAAGGACAGCTTCAGCTTGCCTTAATCTCATTCCTTGGCAGCTGCCTGACAAAAAACTTATACTATTAATCTCCTCACCATTGTGAAAAAGCTCCAAAACACCTGCCTTTCCCCATTTAAACCCTAAAGTTACTTCATTAGTTAAGTTGGCATCTAACTCTTATCCCTGGCTACTTGGCCAACCATTCCTTTTAGAGAGCTTCTGACTGCTTCAGAAATAGAATCTCCTATTAATCTGCCCATTGTCGATCATACTGCAGGCCCTCTCATCATTTGGCACTACTAAGTTGATAGGAGACAAGATTTCTTTTCAACAGATTCTTAACTGAAAAATGCCAGAAGTAGGATTTTAAGCTAAGTATTTTGGAGAAAAAAAAATTAGTCATAAGCAAAGACTTTGTGGATCAAAGATGAGGGTGAGGTAGGAGAGAATCAAAATTAAAACATGCATCTCAAACATGACTGAAAATAAGGAATAGGTAGAGCAATGATTTTCACTGGGTCACCATGGCAAAAAGTTTAAATGGAAAAAATAAAAACTAAAAAAAAAAAAAAAATGCAAGAATGGGCTGAATATCTTTTGCTTGGAAGAAGTTTTTCATTCAGTTTACATTAGCTGCAGCATTAAAATACAACTCCTTTCTGAATCATTTGTCTAATGAAAACTGGATAGGAAGATTTAACCTAGACTATGAAACTGTCTATTTTCATCAAGGAATATGTAAAAGTGACAGGCAACAATAGGAGATGTTATGACAGAGAAACACTTTCCTGAAACATGATTTTAATGTCATAAAAATTATCAATTAATCCCTTACTAACATAGGATAATGATAATGATATGAAGAGGATAGCAGGGCAGCATCTTTTTTAAATGTCTAGGGTATAAAAATGCATAGCTTTGCTGAATGAATATCCAAAAGGCAAGGACACTCTGTAAAGTTCAAATTCATTCCGTCTAATTCTCTGCTCCCTCTTACATTAAGGCCAACATGAATATCAACCATTTTTATTAACTATGACCCTCGTTTATTAAATACTAAAACCTGCTAGTGCAAAATGCTTCCAAAAGGGGTAATATGTATTTTGCAATTTATGCATGAAAGTTATGCAGATGGAGTTATAATAGGCTTAATAAATTATATAAACTTTCATCATTCTGCCATTAATTTAAGAACTTTCATTCTTAATCACAAAAATTAAGAACTTCATAGTGCTATCTAATAGTCATTGTAGTAATTATTTGCACAGTCACAGTAAACTGAAGTTTAAAGAACAGGCATTCTTTCCATTATGAAAGGCCAGTAATAATAATAAAGAAAGGATGAGAAAATACTCTTGAGTTTCTATAAGAGTAAAATGTCTTGCTTTCAGAATTCTTATATGATTGGGTTCATCTTTCTGTTTCTTGACCTTGAGATATGGCTCATCTCCAAATTCATTTTTGAACTTCAAATACTCATTTCAAAAAGCATTTAAAATATTTCTAGTTATTTAAAATATCTAAGATATTTAAGTGCTTAAAATTAAGAAATAAAAATTGAAAATAAAATGTTTAACTAATATTTCCAATTTCACCTTCACCAGTAATTATTGGGAAAAGAGAAAATACAAAAAAACTAGCTTATTTTCCTTTAGTGGCTTATAATATAGCTAGAAATGTGAAAGTAATGAAAACAAATGTCTTTAAAGTACCTACTCAAGAGGAGATAGTGGGAGGTTCAATAACAGGTATCTAGATGCAGTTAGACAGAAGTAATAAGTTCTAGTGTTCTACAAAACAAAGGGTACCATATGTCACAATCAGCTATTGTAAGTATCTTTATGAGACAGTAGAAGAAAGGACTTCAAAGACTGAATACATAAATTAATGCTAAGAAGATGGAAACATTACTCTGATTGATCAGTACCTAACATATAAGTGTATTGAAATATACTCTGTCCCATAAATATGTACAATTGAGTTAATAAAAAATTTTACATATTTGAGGAGAAGGAAAATTTTTTTTAAAGTAGTGACATTTGTGAGGGATAATTAATAAAGCTGAGGCTGTTGGATTTACAGGGCATAAGGGTTCAGGAAGGGAGAGAGTGTGAAGATCACACAGTTGGAAGAGTGAAAGTAATACAGAAAGCATGGAGGAAAAATGGTCCTGATGTAAGAATTCCTCATGTTTAGATAGGTCTGCATGGCTATGGTCAAATGGAGCATCTTTCTCAGCACATCATGGTTCTTGGGCAGAGAGTGTCATCTCTGTCACCCAACCTTTTGCCTCCTCAACAAACTTGGATCCTTATTTGTAAAAATGTTGATAGTGTAGCCAAGAACTGATCATGAAAAATAAAAATTATAAATATTAATTCCTGTGTTAGTAATTAAAGAAATAAAATAAAACTGTACTGTACGATGTAGATGTGTTAACACAGGTAAGAAGTTAACTGTTTAACTGTGTTAATGGTTTTACTCTTTCTTCCGCTACTAACTTGCCATGTGACCTTATTCTGACTCATTTGCTTCATCAAAATTTCACAATATTGAATGGCATGATCCCTAATGTTTCTCTTGGTCCCAAAGTCATAAGAATTTGCTATATACTTTTTCAAATAATAGGAAACCTAATGTGATTTTTTTAAAAAGATGCTTATGTGAGATATAAAATTGTATGTCTTCAGAAAATACGTACATTTTGGCCCACTTATCAAGTTCTTCTTCCAAGTATGTCTTCACCATTTTTGGTTGCAGGCCAAGAGAATTTCCCAAGAAATAGATGGCATTTTCGTCCTTATTCACTAAAGATAAGTCAACTAAAACAGAAGAAAATATTTAAAAAGCTTATTGAACTAATCAACATTCTTCCATTTAACATTGTTAATATAATGCAAACAATTTATACAATTAACTCTAAGAAGGGTAGCAAATAACTTACAATTACACCCATGGAAAATATCAGGTACTCTGAAAAGTAATTAACCTTTCTTATTTATATATTAAAACACAACTTAAACCTATAGAGATAATTATGGTGATCTCTCATATTTATGGTGTTATTTGAGGAAATCTAAATTAGCAACTACTCCCAATCATTAATAGCCAAAAGCAATAGAAGGAGTTAAAAACATTTTTTTTTGCAGAAAATATATCAGCATACATAATTGTATTAGATTACAAGAATTTAATTAACACTCCAAATTAATCAGAGCTAGACATCTTAGATTTATGTAACTTTACAATACACACATACACATGTGCACAATATTAAAGCACATAGGCAAGAATTATTCTCTGTATTTACTTCTCACTCAACTAAATTGAACCTTTGTCTGCAAACAACAAATAATTAATGTGCTCAAACTTAGTCTAGAAACGGGCAAGTTTACAATGGTAATTATAAACTATTGAGTTTTCTCTTAATTCTATGGGGAAAAGACCAAGCTTCTTGCTGATGTTTCACTGAGATCATTGAGTACTATACTTGTTTTTATTTTAAACTGTCTAATTAAACCTTTGAAGACTTTTTAAAAGTAAGGCATCTCTTTCAACATGATCATCTTTGCAGATACTACACTTCTTTTTCACTGGCATCTTTAAACATGACCCAATGAAAGAAGTGTTGACATTATTGACACATGTAAGTTGGAACTGGTTTCAATTTGGAAAAGTTTAAAGAAACTGACTAGAAAAAGCTTACAAAGGCCAGCTGTCCTGGCATCTACCTATAATCCCAGCAGTCAGGAGGCAGATGCAGTAAGATGGTGAGTTTGAGGCAAGCCTGGGTTACATAGCAAGACCCTTTCTCTCAAAAAAAAGCAAAAAAAAAAACCAAAAAAAAAAACAAAGCAACAGCAAAAACTTAAGGCTGTAAACAGACTAATTCTGGTGAGAGCTCAAAGACAAGAATTTCTTTAGGAATAAAGATATAAAAGATGTGCTATGAGGATGCAAATGAGAATTAGTACTCTATTAGGAATTAGACTATGGGCTATATAGATTACATTCTAGCAAAGTACTTGGATAAATTTTGTCCATGTTTTGAGACTTTGCATGAAGCTGAATTTAAAGATGCTGCACTAGTTTATATAGCCCAAATTTCAAGGCAGCACAACATTCAGGCTGTAGCATGGACACTGCTGTCTGCTTTTAGCCAAATTTAGAGTGAGAGTTGTGAGTAAAAAGTAGAGTGAAAGTTTGAAATACTTGCAATTTGCCTGGAAAAGGAGCTTATGTAAGTAGGAGTCACGGAAAGTATGGTTGTTAAAGAGATTAGCACCATTTTGAAGAATCCAATTCTGGGTCTATAAGAAAGGTGCCTTGAGGAAACCTCAGGATTTGTCAAATGCTACCCATAACATGGCCAAGGAAGTAAGAGCATAAAACTCTTTTGGAAAGCTTTCCTTTCAATAACCAGAATATATAGGGAGCTCAAAAAACCAAACTCACAAAAAATCAATGACCCAATGAAAAAATGGACAAATGAACTAAACAAGAGTTTTTTCAAAGAAGTCCAAATGGCTAAAAAACACATGAGAAAATGCTCACCATCCCTGGCCTAAAGGAAATGCAAATCAAAACCACACTAAGATTCTACCTCACTCCTGTTAGAATGGCTACATCAAGAACACAAACAACAACAAATGTTGGCATGGACGTGGGGAAAAAGGAATCCTCATACACTGCTGGTGGGAGTGTAAATTAGTACAACCAATGAGGAAAACAGTATGGAGAATCCTCAAAAAACTAAAAAAAAACCTGCCATATGATCCAGCAACACCACTCCTAGACACATACCTGAAGGAATGTAAGGCAGGTTACAATAAAGTCACCTGCACACCCATGTATATTGCAGTATTATTCACAGTAGCTAAGCTGTAGAAACAACCAAGATCCCTCTCACTACTGATGAATGAATTAAGAATATGTGTTATTTATATACAGTGGAATTTTATTTAGTCACAAAGAATGAAATTTGTAATTTGCAGGTAAACGAATGGAACTGGAAAATATCTTAAGTGAAGTTAGCCAAGTTCAGAAGGTCAAAAGCCTCATGTTTTCTCTCATATGTAGAATATAAACCTAATGGAAATACAGCAATATTATGAAAAAACAAGTCATGCTAAGGGGAGATAACATGTGAGAGGGGGAGGGTAAAAGAAGGAAATTAAGAAGGTGAATGTGGTTGATGTACTCTCCATACAAGAATGAAAATAGACTTTTTAAACCTGTAAAACCACAAGAAGAAGGGGAATAAAGTAAAAAGAAGAAAAATAGAGAAGATGAACTAATTTGAGTAATAATGTATCTATACATGGAAGATCTACAAGGAAACTTCCTGTGTAGCTATTTTAAACAAACAAAAATGTCCTTTTTTTTTTTTTACAAAATGGAAGAACAGGAGGGTAGAACAGGTTCTGCCTGGGGGTGTTGGTACCAGTGGGAGGGGGGAAGAGGTAGGGAAAGGGAAGGTGAATATAGTGCAAACACTGTGTAGGCATGTATATAAATAGAGAAATGATACTTAGTTTCAACAAGTATCATGGGGGTAGAATGGGGGTAGGGGGTGATAAAGGCAAATGATGGAGGGGGTGAATTCATATATGATATATCTGATGTATTGTAAGAACTTTTGTAAATGCAACAATGTACCTCCAGCACAAAAAAAAAGAAAAAAAAAAGAAGAAACACTATTCCTTGAGAAGAGTGCCACCAGAGTGTTCTGCTTACACAAGACCACTTAAGGAAGTGTTTCTCTGGGTTCAGCTGCCAAGGCACTCAAAGGTCACTAAAACTATGGTCCAAGAGAGGGCCAACTACCACTTATCCTGGACACAAACATTGGCATCATCCATGTGATGCTGGTTTTATAGGCAGGCAAAATGCAAGAGTTGCATGGTCATGGAAGCTTACAACCAGATTTCAAAGGAAAGCTGGGAGGCCTGGCAATGTGTGATAGTGTTGGAATTCCTGCATGGAGCCCCTGAGTGGGTGATGTGTGACACTATAAGAGTTAAGTAGAAGTTGCAGTGGAAATATCAGAAAGAGAGAGATGCCAGGAGTGTGGAAGTTCTGCCAAACAAACCTGAAGGCAGTAAGCAGAACTATAAGAGCCATGTGGACTGTAACCAGGAAGGCCACAGATTCAGGGCTTCCCAAGGTCTTAGGAGGTCACACTATGCCACAACATTGCCTGGAGGCAGGACATGGAACTATAGGATTGAATGTTTGCCCTGCTGGGTTTTAATGTTGCTTTGGCCCTCACCTCCTTTTTAGCCCCAGTTTCTCCCTCTTTGAATAGCAAGGCTTACTGTGTAACTGTTGTGTCTTGGAAGTATGTAATTTTCTTTTTGATTTTACACAGGCTTCCCAAAAAGAATTTGCCTTTAGTCTCATAGGAGACTTTGGACTTAAAGTTCTTGAACAATGTTGCAACTGTTGAGACTTTGTGAACTGTTAGAGGTAGACTAAATGCATTTTGCATAATCATATGAGCATGAGTCTTTGAGGACAGAATATTACGGTTTGAATAAGAAATGGCCCTCACAGGCTCATGTATTGAAGGCTAGGTACCTGGCTAGTGGTACTGTTTTGGGAAGTTGTGGTGACTTTAAGAAGTGGGTCCTAGCTAGTGGAACTGGTAATCAAAGGAATGTTCTTGGGGGCTGTGCCTTGTCCCTGCCCCTTTCCCATGTTTTCTGGTCACAATATGGTAAGTAATTTTGTTCCTCCTTTGTTTTCTACCATGATGTTCTGCCTCACCAAGGCCCGAAACAATGGAGCCAAACATAAACTGAAATATATGAAACTGTGAGCCAGAGTAAATATTTTAGGCTTTGTGGAGCACACAGTCTCTATTGCAATGTTACATTTGGCCATGGTAGTATGATAAAGGGCATAGATAACACAAAAACAAATAAATGTGACAGTGAGACCACACATACACACAAACATCTTCATTAAAAAAAGAGCTATTGAGTTTGTCTAAGAGTCACTCTGAAACGCTAACACAGATTGGATATGTCCTTAAATTCTGTTATCTGCCAAGTATAAACAGTCTGAAAACACTCTTTGAACTGAGAGTACTTGCTTCATGTGAGAAGCCCTCTGAATTAATTAGCTATGGCTTCAGTAAGAAAGTCTCAAGAACAGAGAAATTTAAAGAACAGAAATTGATTGTGTCATAGTAAAGGAAGTTAGAAGTGCAAAATCACAGTTGTTCTTTCTGAGGGTTGTGAGAGAAGCCTCTGTACTTGGCTTAAAGACAGTTATCTTCACATGTACTCTCCATGTGCACATCATGTACAGTATATCTCTCTATCTTGAAATTTCCAATTTTTTTAAGAATACCATGTCCTATTGGATTAGGATCCACTCTACTAACCTCATCTTAATTTGGTTACTTTTTAAAGACTATCTCCAAGTAAGGTCACATCTTGAGGTACAAGGGGTTAGGACTTCAACACTGGAATATTTAGGGGGCACAATTCAACCCATAACAAATTCATTTAACTTGTTTAAGCACTTAAGAATTTCAACTCTCTACAAATGGATTTCACCAAGCTGGGCTTTAAGTCAACAGTTTTGGAGTTATTCTAGATATGTCCTTTCTTGGTAAAGTTTACAATATCATTGGAATGGAACCTCTGGTTCTGGAAACTCATTTGATTGTTACTGAGTAACAATTAATAAAAATTATCCATCACTCTGGGACTTTATTTACTTACTCTTTCAGTTTATATGATCTGTTCATAGATGAAATTGTAGCAATTTAGTTTAACAATATTCATTGGCTTTATTTTCAAGTTTAGAATCA